AGAAACGAGTGCCTTTTGTAGGACAGAGATAAGGATGACGGAACATAAATCGAAGGAAGTAGTAAACAACAAGGGAATATTTGACCTAGGCTTAGAGTAACAGGAAAGGGTAACGGACATAGATACAAACGAGGCGGATGGGGTAGCAAGTAGGGGTTGGCCACGAACGCCTTACGACTGGATCGGCAAGAGCCTTTGCACCTCCTACGTTTGGAAGAGTTTAACGAGGAATCAACGCATCTGATAAATAATTTATCGGATCGAAGTAAATCAGACTAAGGTGGTACGAAGATCGGAATACCAACGTAGTTATCCAGGTTAACATGTCTAAGCCATCGGTATAACTTACTGTTAATCCTAGCCTTACCTGTAGGCAGCGTAGAAACAACATGTTCCGTCCAACTATCGTTAAGAGATCTAGAAGTATAGGCAGTATACATATGACGATGCCAAGGGAAAATTATTGCGTAGATGACCAGACTTGGACATGAACGGAAGTCCTAATTTGAGTGAATCAGCAGAGAGAGAATATTTCGAAACTTATTACACCACCTAATTTCACCAGAAAGAATTAGCAGGATGACCACGAGTCGAAACACAAACGAAATACCCTCATGAGGAAGCGACCGACGAAAATTTCGACAAAGTGAAGCTAGACTCCAGAGATGCGATGCTTTCAGGGCGTCACCTCATTCTTCACTGATTTCCTATGTTGAATTGGCGTAATCATGAATCTGATCTTCATTATCGTGGGACTCCTTCTTTTCCAACCATTCATCATAATCCCTTCGAGCACGAATTTCTGCAACATCAAATTTCGCTTTGCTAAGCTTGATATAGGTAATCCCTTCGGTTTTACATATCTCCTCCAACTCGCTCTTCTTCCTCGATCTCAGTTCTTTCATTTTTTTCTCCTTGAAACTTCTCAACATCGCATGTTCTAACTCGTGAATGGCATCCACAATTGTAGGTCCGCCACCCTTCCTTCTCTCTTCGTCAGTTCCGACAGCTTCCTTGTCGCCGTCGGATTCGACCTCAACAACATTCATCGTCGTTTTGAGATTTCTTGGAGTAGTATTACGCACTGCAAATTTTCAAATATACACCCTGTATTTAGCAGCTCCCACTTTGGCCAATCGATTCTTCAGCGCGCCAGCTTTCCTAAGGGCTAACTCCTTGCCCTCCTGCGCTTCCTTGTATGCCTTGTAAAGCCCCTCCATATCTTTTGGGGTGTCCATGGCATCGGACCTCATCTTTCCAAGTTTCCACGCGATGGTGCTTCTAGTGGACTTTTCTCAACCACGCCCAGTACTATCCCGCTTGCCTGGGTTCTTCAAAAATAGAACCCCCTCCTTTAATTCCTTGAAGTCATTTCGGAGGTTAGTGTTCTCCTTCGAATCCAGAGAGATGCCACCTCGCAGTTCTTCTCCTCCAAGGTTCTTCGGAAGCCATTTAGTTCACTTACTTGCAGTTTGAGAGCGACGTTCTCATCATTGCTCTTGTCCGATTGACCATCATTTACCTTAGCCTTGAGTTCTTTGATCTCCTTGCACAACCTTTGCTCCTCGTTTCCGGCATCTTGCATCTTCAGCAAGGCCTCCTTCTCTTTACGTAGAGACTCAAGATTGGACACGATTGTGCTGCCTCCAGATTTAGCCTTTAGCTCATCCAACTCCTTGCGTAGTTTACCAACCTCCGTCTCTTTATCACCAGGAAGGTCCATTTATCTCCCCTACGCCGATTTGCATACCGCTTTCATACTACACCGAACAATCTGCCCCAGCCTAGCCTCTTGTAGTTCTCTCTCTTTCTTCTCTTCAGTACGTTATGAAGTTTTTTCTTCTTCTCTTCCAAATACACCAATCTGGCAGCGTCATGTTTCCGTTGTTCACGTTCCTCGGCCTGCTCAGACAGCAACCCATAGATCTTGTTGAATCTCTCATCTTCGAACTGATCTCTTTGTCCACCATGCCATGATCTGGAATTCTGTTGATTATTGTTAAACCCACCATTATAACCACCACTGTGGTCACCATTCACACCATAACCGTAGCCACTCGAGTACCCGTCATTGTCACCATTGCTCCTAGCTTGCGGAGCTTGATACGGAACAATTGCTGGGAGGGCGCAGGAAGAATCCCACCGTTGCCACCGCCATTGGACGAAGAAGAAGCTCCATTGGATGAACTTGGCATATCGCTCCAAATACTCGCGGGCTCGCAGCCCTCACTGCTCTGTTTGGCTGATTCCGAAAGGGGCATTCACGTATGAAGTGCCCCGGCAGCTGGCAGAAGTGACAAACGTACCGTCGATACAGACTGGGAAGGACTAAGAACGTCCTTCGCCGAACAGGAAAAGGAAAGCCTCCATGCACAGAAAAGGATGTAGGAGTATCAAGAGGAGGAAACACAGAAGAGAGCACAAAAAGGAGAAGAAAGGATGAAGAAAGGAGAAGAAAGGATAGAGAAAAGCGCCAAGTGTAAACCGTGTATGTCAAGCTGGCGGACATAGTCACTCTAACAGGGTAGTAGTCCCGCGCCGGTGTCGGAGTAGAGAAAATCTTCATGCAAACAACAAAGCCGGTGTGAATACACTCAAGCCAATGAAGTTGACGAAACACGTGGGAGGTAAAGAGGAAGAGGAAAGGCAGACGAGAGAATCTGAGGCAAGAATAGAGTCCCCGAGCGCATCAGCTCAATAAAACGTTAAGCGCAGAGTAAAGTTGGCGTTAAACTGCCATATCCGTGAAGCATAACTGGCATTCTCCCGACAGCTGTTTCGGTCGGCGCCAACACCAGCTCTCCTCAGGGGGTTTCTACTCTTGACATTTTTCACAATTTTTCTCTCCCATTCTCCCACCCTACCCTCCTATTTTCTTCCCCCAACTCAAGTCTCATCATCCACCTCATCTACCATCTCAAAATTTCTCTATTTCTTACCTCTTGCTCTCTTTTCTGAGTTTTCACCTCTTTCTCAACCCTCCTTCCCCAACTTCAATTTTTCCCTTTTTCTCTTCTTTTGTGTTTCTCTTTGATTTCTTTTTTTTTCTCTAAAAAAAACCAATTTATTTTATTTCCTTTTGTTTTCTCGTTTTCTTGATTTATTTTTACTATTTTTTTATTTATTCTGAAATTTTGAATTTTTATAGCATGGGCCAAGAAAAGAAAGATGCTGGGAACAACTGGGGCATGGTCCCACTAGCAACCAGATAGGATATAAAAGAGTTTGTGTGGCAGTTGAATGACCCAAATCCTGCTGTGCAGTACTGTTGATACCACGGTCAGTATTTTACATATATTACCCGAAAAAGTAAGGAGATCTTGGTTCCCCTCCTCATCTCCTTAACACTGGGCATGCCGGTGCAAAGGAAGCTTCCCGCCAAAATCTTTTCAATCCGTTGGGGGCATGGCCAACCCCAAAAGAGAGTGGGGTCGGCCATAGGCCCACTGAATAGAAGATTTTCAGTATTTGGCTTGCTGTTGTGCAATTATCTCATTGGGTGGAGCCCTCCTTCAATCACGGAGTATATGGAGGGCGTCAGGATCACTGTTGACAGAAGTTGAGTTATTCCAGAAATGGGCAGTTACTTTCTGCACTGTTGTTGCAACCACCACCATCAGATTTTTTTTTATTTTTTTATTTTTATTTTTTAAACGAAAAAGCAACCCGGGTGAGTGCTAGGGACGCTGATAAGAGCAGACGCCTCTAGCATGCTCGGGGAGGCTCCATCTATTGGTGGGGAGCAGCACCTGCTGGAAAACGGGTCCAGCGTCCCTATGAACATCCAAAAGTCATGTGAACATGCCACGTGTCCATGCTAATGTATACGAGCAAAGTACATGCACCGACACGCAGGCACACAACATTAACCTAATGAGCAGCGTCGATTGCTCTCAAGCGAGGGATCGGCTGCCCATCCTCTATAAGATCATATCCCCACTCAGAAATCCTCATCGTGTAATCAAATCTTGCAGCACCATGAGGAGGGGAGGCGACAATCCAAATATGGAAACCATCGCAAAAAACCACTTACGTAGCAGGGCCATGGCAACTCAAAAAATTTGTCCGAGGCAGGCACCTACCCTATACTGCCATTGGCAGAGCCATGGCACCCCCACTGCACCGCCATCGCCTGCCACGTGGCGAATCCTAGTGTTTATACCATAGGGAAATGATCCCCCGGGTAGCTTAGCAAGAATCGAAATCTTATAGGCCTGCCACGTGGCCACCCCAATTTGAACGCAAAAATCCGTCCGAGCGGCACCGCAGGCACGTATATTTAACTAGTAAACAGCATTCATCACCCTCAATAGAGGGGATTGACTGCCCACCCAAGCATGAATTCATACCCTGCCCTGAATTACTCATCCACCACCCAAAAAGCATACAGCACCATGAGCAGAAGGGGCAATCAGAGCAGGCCTCCCTAAAAGCTAAAACCTAATAGCCAGTGGTGGAACCCAAATGAATCACACACATAAAACTCCGTAGCGCCGCTTCCCCCGGCACTGCCTTCCCCACCACCTGCCAAGAAACCAGACATCACGTTTGCAGGCCCTAAAACTGACATTTCGTTAAAACTGACATTTTTTTCTAAATTCACGAAAGTGGACTTCGTCAAAATTCCATTGCTCATCGGGTGAGAAAGTGGTTATCTCACTTTGTCCATCTGATGTACCTCAACGTAAAGTACCGTTAACATACATCTGATGGTCAGATCATCGGGAGTCGCCACGACACCCGATGATCTCCCCGGGTCGTCAACACGATTGCAAAGGAGAGAGGACACCGGGGACGAGAAGGGAACAGATGTGGCAAAACAATCCAATATCTATCCCACCCCCTCGCGCACCCATCCCACCCCTAGCTCTCCCCCATACCCTTCCAATATGCTGAACGAACCATTCAAACAGCCCTCTCGCCCTTCCCCCGGGTCGTCGACACGATCGCAAAGGAGAATGGACAGTGGAGGACAGAAGGGGGAACCATCATTGTTGGTATCATTGTTGTTATTTTTGTTGTTGCTGTTGTTGTTATCATTGTTATTGCAATCTGGCGTGCACGAACTCACAATTTCCACGCTTATATCTGTGTCATGCGCAACAGTTGCGGTGTTGCGGTGTTGCAGGCGCCCACGATCTCTGCTTCGTGGTTGCCGTTGGTGGTGGTGTTGTTGTCAATGTTGTTGCCGCTATTGCCGCGCGCCCCCGTGTTCACGAACCCCATGTTTGATCCACAGGCCTGCACGCTTTGGTTGTTGTTGTTGACGTGTTTGTCAATAGCAAGGACGTCATCCACACAAGCTCGGCCCTCCTGAAGCTCGTCACAGGTGATGATGCTCGCGTCAGCGTTATCCTCATCTTCCGTCTCTAAGTGCAGGTACCACTCCTCCTCCAGCGCTGCGTACACATCCTGCCCCTCCTCGAAGATGTCATAGCAGCACCGCTTCAGAGTCTCCTCCTGATAACCATCTATGGGACCATCCTCCAACTCCCCGATGACCTGCAACATGTTCGTCATCCCTTCCTGGAACGGCAGGTTCGATGAAGCTGCCCCCCCACCAGCTTCGAATAGAGCTCCCAATTGTGATCGCAGTTCATCCACCATCAGCTGTAAACGATATCGAATAGATGAGAGCCACTGGGGGGCTCCTCGCTGCTTATCTCGCATTGAAGCCATCTGCACCTCTGAACCGCCTCAAAATCCGCGTCGACGAACTCCCACGCTTCCCTGCCAATCCCAGATCTAACGGGGCTTCCACGTCAGCGTCGCCACGGACGTGGGGCAAGACACGTGGCTCAAGCTGCCCCTCGTCAACCTACGTGGGCGCCCGATCGCGTGGAGGGCAGCCGGGCCCTGCCGGCTGCGACCACGCGGAGTGTTAGCGCTCTTGGTAGCGCATTCTGTATCAAGGAGTTTGTGATCTGGTGGCTGGGAAGCACTCTGCCGTGATGTCAGGTGGGAGGTCTCTGTTTCTTTTTTTTTCTTTTGCTTTTCTCCAGTTTTCTCACCCCAGAAATTTGTAATGAACCTGTCAGGCTGCTGCCACTCAGTGTCACACTGGATCGGCCACATTCCTATCCGACTACTAATGGGACCACACCCCTGGTGGCCTAAACCACCACAGTGACTCCAACAGCCCCTGCACTGTCCTTTTTTTTTTTTTTTTTTTTCATTTTTTCTTGTAGACAATTACTGGGCCAAAATCTACAGCGCCCAGGTTCTGTAACACTATTGTTTTAAGTCAGGCTGGCGCTGTGGTTTTAAACTGCTACCTCCTTCTTCCCCCAATCATTTTGACTGCATCGGGACGGAAGGGTAGTCTGTATGCATTCATTATCAGGGTGCCATATGTTCGGGGAAGGCGGTAATACAGGGCCCCAGTAGTACAGGGCCCCAGCCTTGCACAAAGTTTTTGCCGCCACAAGCACAACTCAGAGGCGCCGCACGGCCAGGCCCGCCGTTGAAAAAAAAAAACCGGCGGCCTCCGAAGTGGTGTGTTTTTCATGCTGACAACAGGGGGCCTATATGTGGTGTACTGGTGCTAGAGAAAATGCAACTTTCCGTTTGTCAAAAATAAAAAAATGAAGGTAAAATTTTCGAAATGCCCCTCCAACTTCCATTTTTTTGCGGTATGCCCCTCTGACGGCCGAGTTACACTGTCATGCGCCTTGGGCCTCTGAGGTTTCCTGCATGCCTCTGTCAGTGAGGGGTGCAACTTTTCAGCATGCCCATGTGACCATTGGTGGCACTTGAGGCCGTTCCCCTGCCCCTGGGAGGGGAGCTATCGGGGCATACTGGAAATTTGCAACCGGTAGCGGTAGGGGCATATTGAACATATTTCAGGCCCAAACAACGCCAGGGATTTTTCGGAACCTTCAATAGTTTCAGAGGGGCGCGACAGGCTAAGTCGGCCGTTGGACGGCCATAGCGCAAATAAATACGAGTCTGAGGGGCATTTAAAAAAAATCAGATTAAAAAAAAAACAAAAAAACAAAAAAAAAACACATATCTTACTGGAATCACATCCACACCTGGATCATGAATCTGCCCCCAATCACATTCAGAGCACGCATATTCCCTTCTTTTTAAAATGGATGGGTCTGGTCAATGGTGTTGTACCTGGTTTCTTGTTGGGTCCAGAAAGGCCACAGCAAATAGTCTGCTGTCCAAAGTTGCTACCAAGAAATGGTCCACTTGCGCAGGCCCAAATTCCACACGCCCGTTGCCCATCATTATATCCGTCCCAGTCACATGCCCAATCTGCACACATGGCAGTGTATCACAGAGGATGTATAATATGCAAATGATGTCATATATCCCCCCCCCTCCTCCCCCCGCGCCACCCCCCCCCCCCCCGGGTAAAAAAGGACGTACAGTAACAGTGCAGTGAAAACAAGTTAGGTGGCCAGTGGGGGTGTGTCCGGTGCTGGGGGGGGGGTCGAGGAAGGCTTCAATGCTTCGCGGCCTTGCTGTGGCCTTTGCCACACCAAAGAAGTCCAAAATTAATCCAATGCGTCTTCTGTGGCATGCCTACCTTCATCCCCGGAATAAAACGGAGGGTCATTGTAGCTGTATGAGCCTGTATCTAGACTGAAAGATGCCTCAAAAATACAGCTATAATGACCGTACGTTGTATTGGGGGGAAGAAGGTAGATAGTCTGCCTCTAATCCCTTATTGTTTTTTCCATGCAGGCAGGGGGTTCACTATAATTCCAGATCATGAAATTTGTAGTGAATCTCCATTTCCTCGTAGTAACTTTCTTCGGCTATGACTTTCGAAAATGGGGCAACGGCTCCTGGATCAGACCTACAGTCTTCACCCGAATAGAGCGCCGGGCCGGTAATTACAGCTGACAGTGTATTTGGCACAGCTTCCGGTCCAGATGCTGGAGTTCTATTCGGGTGACGACCCTAGCGTTTGGAATAGGCAACTTTAGCAGTTCTCGAAACAACAGGGCAAAAAAAGGCAGCCGCTAAATCTGCATTCAATTTCAATTTGGCGGCACTTAAAGAAAAGGGCAGCAGTTTCAACCCCCCCCCTTCTAAACTTGCACATTCTGTATGATTCTGAAACTCAAACAATGACATAGGGCCTCGTTAGACCCTCCTTGGAAATCCGATTCTTAGGAAATCGGCGCCGTTACACCGCGTCATAATTCGCCGAATTCCTTGAATGAATGTGAAAACGCTCCCGAGACATTTCCTTTGATTCCTCAGAATTCCCAGCCAAAACGTCCTTGGATTCAAGGGGTCCTCGCGAGGTCTCTTCGGTTCAAGGAGCCGCTATTGACGGAGTGTTCTGGAGCGAGCGCCGACAGGAAAATTTGGAGTTGATGTTGGTGCACAGATCGTCTGTGGTCCATTGGGCAGACATCGCCGCCCTCCAGTACCCAACTAGCCCCCAACGGCCTTCCACCGTTACCATTGGCGTGAAAATGCGCGGGGGTGGTTCTTCAGCTGCAAGGCGCTTCACGAAGCAGGGTTTTCCATGCGCGCGTCCCCGACGGTGGTGTCCAACGGTCGAATTTTCGTATTTGTCTACAAAAGACTACAAGCGATGTTGAAGCACGTCGGTTGATTGCAGGCATCTGCCTTGTGTGTTTTGTCGGCTATTGTCGGGTGCATTGATACAAGCTTTGTTTGGTACACGCCTCGCATGCTGCGATTCATAGCAGACGTCCTCCGGCGGTTCCCGCTCCTGCTGATGGCCACTTTTCTCCTGCTCCTTGTCGTGTTGTTCCACGTGTGTGTCGTTGTGCAAGGTCCTGGAAGAAGACAGAAACGACGAACGGTGACGAAGACGACAATGGACAGGCGGGAAACCTGCAGCAGATAGCCGACGCACGCCATTGAATACTCCACTCCGCAGCTTCTCCTTGTAGTAGCCCTCCGCCATGTCGTCAACCTGTCGGAGATCCTCCCATGTCCCTCCCGTCCTTCTCCTCATCCACCATCTCGGCGTCGCCCACGGGATCACACTCGATGTCATGATGCAGCAAAATTGCACAATGGATTTCGATAACGACACACAATCGGGTGCATCCATCGCTTGTTGCATCAGCTGCCTTTGCCTGTGAATGAACAATCTCATCCTCAGGCGAGTTGTCGTTCTGTCAATGTGATAACGCATGGAGACGACTGACACAACTGTGACCACCGTGTTTATCTCCAATGTTGTTAATGCCTTAGCACCACCTGGGCGCTCTCGTTCCATCGTTAGGACTTGCAATGCACAAGCACCCACCACTCGTTCGCCTGCCGGCGCCCTCGTTTCACCTTCTGCACGCTGATTGGGACCACGTTCGCACTCTCCACGTTTCGCGAAAGCGTTACGTTCGCGCTAAGTTGTGACCGCCCGAAGAGCATGCGGAACACCAAGGCGATGTCGCAATAAAGAACCGTTACGCATACATGCTACGTCGCCCAACATTCCAAATTGGATGTATCCTTTTAAGCCATGACCGCCATCACTCTTCCTCACAGACGTTTCGCCCCAGTCTTCAGTTCACTAGACAGGACGCCTTACACCCTTTTTTTTCGTAAGCCCGGTAGGCCTCCCCGTCGTCGCCACTGGATAACACCCGAGGACGGACGGACATCCCAGCACGATGACGGACATCCACCCCCGCGGCTACGTGTATGCGTATGAAATTGGCCGCTGGAGACCTCCAAGGGTTTTCCTTGGGACCCAAATAACCGGTCCTTCACACCTTCCGCCGCTTGCACCCAAATGACTGATCCTTCACATGTATAAGGGATCTCGAACCGACACGTTTGTATAAATCACGAATCGACCTTACCCTTCTCTCCAATGACCTGGAAGGAGCCCTGCGATGGTTGATGATCGTACCGCGCAGTCCACACCTAGGTCTGGACCATAAAACTTGATGATTAGTACTATCAATGAGGAAAAGACCGGACCAAGGGTCCAACTTTTACAAACTGAACATCTCTCTTTTAAGAGATCAACCTTTTCGGGAAATGATTCAGCAAGGGTGGCAATTTTGACACTAACAAAAACACCACTTTGACTCCTCTACGTGGTTCAATAATGGCCTGATTGCCAAGAAGTGTAAGGAATTCTCCAAGGTTACAGCAGCCCTACGACAACAACAAGAAATGTTCACTCATAAGGAACTGTTAGACCTGGAACAACAGGCAGATTCTCAAGATCTTCATATACCCATCCAAAATGTTAAAAATTAGCTCCTAACAACCATTTCGTCAAAATGGACATTTTTTATTTTTTGAATGAAATTGAAACTGAGTTTTTTTGTCAAAAACTCGTCAAAATTTGTTGTTCCTGAAAGTCCAGCGTTTTACAAACGCTGGACCCCCTGCCTGAAGGTACCTGGTCTCAAGTTAGGTCCATGTACAGCCAGGGGGTCCAGCGTTTTGACCCTCAGGAACATCAAATTTTGACGAGTTTTCGACAAAAAAAATCGGTTTCAATTTCGTTCAAAAAATAAAAGATGTTCATTTTGACGAAATGGTAGTTTCCTTCACTATGGACATTCATTCAGGAAAATTTCCAAACTCGCTCAGGAGGCCACAATGGACATTCATTTCTTCACTATGGCTACGACCCGCGCACGGCAAACCATAATCGAGGCACTCTGTGACCCAGACAAAAGGGAGCAGGTCATCGTGACCGATACCGCCTACTGCACATTAATCACAATGACTCAATGAGGTTTTTTAAGCAGTTGTATACATCCCAAATCCCGACCCCGCGAGAGGAAGCAAGGTGGAACGCGCTAAAGGATTTCTTATAAGTTATCACCTATGGATAGACACCTCTCCCCACGATAGCGGGACCAGGTCGAGAGACCATTACAGAAGGATGAAATATGAACTGCGCTTCTCCAGATGAAGGAAGAAAAAACTCACGGAATTGATGGGTTTTCGAACGAGTTTTGGGAAACTATGTGGACAGACCTGAGCGCGGAGCTGTGGGAATACTATTAGAGGGTATGGGAAGACGGGAAGATGGGGGAAGTAGTGGGGAAAGAAGTATTGGCGTTTCTATACAAAAATGGGATACGATGAATATTCAGAATTATAGACCGATCACTCTCCTTACAATAGTCTATAAAATATTTTCCAAAGCCTTGACGAATCGAATGGCGACAGTCCTGGAAGACGTAATACACCCTGCCCAGACAGGTTTTATGGTCGGGAGAAACATACAGGAAAACATCCTGTTGGTAAATGAAGTGGTCAAATTGGCACGAAGGAACCGGGCAAATGAGACCATTATCTATATTGATTTTGAAAAAGCCTATGACCACGTCGACTGAGACTTTTTAGATAAATGTTTGGACAAGATGTGTTTCGGACCCGCCTTCAGGCGCTAGGTGAGGGTTCTACACAGCAATGCAACGACCTGTGTGTAGGTTAACGGGTCAGCGACACCTCCCTTTGAACTTCAACGATCGGTCAGACAAGGGGACCCCATTGCTCCCTACCTCTTCCTGGTCATATCGCTGCTAACGAGGCAATATCTGCTAACTTGAGACACAATAAGGACCTCGCACGGATCAGAATCGCTGATATCCCAGAAGAGGCAATACCGGTCTGTTCTCTTTTTGCGGATGAATCAGGATGATCTCACTATAATGGTAGACGCAAGCACAAAGAATATGGAAGAAATCCAGAATCTCAGGAAGCGGTTCTGTAAAATGTCTGACATGGCCGTCAATTGGGGGCAAAAAACCGTAGGTTGGTGGCTACATCATCAAGGGGGTAACCCCCCCAAAAACCCACGGATTAACTGGCTTCTCCGAGATGACCCTCTTAGAATCTTGGGGGCGTTAATTACAGCTAAAGGTAAGCCCGCCACCAAAGACGAATGGCTGGCAGGGACGACGCAAGCCAAACTCGCAGGATGGAACAACAAGCCTACATCAATCTTCAGGCGGGCACTTGTCATAAACAATGTAATACTAGCTACACTTTGGTATCATACTATGGCCTATGAGTAATGGAGGGCTCAAGACACAGTTGGCGGCCTTCCTCAGGAGAGGGGATAGTAACAACTCCCATGCCATTAGTCGAGTTTCCTGAGAATCAGATTCTGTGATTCAGCCCAAAGCTGGGGGGGGGTTGAGAATTGTGGACCCCTCTACACAATTCCAGACTCTCATTTCTCGTTGGCTCCAACACCTCATTTTCCACCTTCCCCTGGGTCCCCCTAGCCTTGTCACAAATCGCGGCCCTGGCCCCAGAGGCCCCACCCGAGACTGACCCCTTGGTGTGGC